TGACACAAACAAGTGGAAAAATATCCCATGCTCATGGACTGGAAGAATCAACATTGTGAAGATGTCCATCTTACCTAAGGCAATCTACAAATTCAATGCAATACCCATCAAATTACCAGCAACATTCTTCTCAGACCTAGAAAAAACAACACAGGAATTCATATGGAAACACAAACGTCCAAGAATAGCCAGAACAATCCTCAGCAAAAAAAACAAAAAACCAAAAAAACAAAGCAGGTGGTATCACATTACCAGACTTCAAACTTTACTATAAAGCTACAATCATCAAAACAGCTTGGTATTGGTAAAGGAACAGGCATATAGATCAATGGAACAGAATTGAGATTCCAGAAGCAAAACCTCAATTTCTCAACCAACTCATCTTCAACAACGCCCCCACCACCTACCACTGGGGAGAGGAGAACTTATTCAGTAAATGGTGCTGGGAAAACTGGCTGACCACATGCAGAAGATTGAAACAGGACCCTTATCTATCCCCATGCACAAAGGTTAACTCCAAATGGATCAGAGACCTAAATGTAAAACCTCAAACCATAAGAACCTTAGAAAAGGAAGGAAATACCCCCATGGAAATCGGAACTGGCATCCAATTCCTGAACAAAACCTGAAACCCACAGGTCATAAGAGAGAAGATAGACAAGTGGGACCTTATTAAACTAACAAGCTTCTACAAAGCCAAAGAAACCATCAAGAGAGCAGGGAGACAGCCTACAGACTGGGAAAAAGTATTTGCCAACACCAGGTCTGACAAAGGCTTAACATCCTGTATCTACAAGGAACTAAAACGTGCTGAAAAGAAAAAAACAAACAACCCCATTATAAAATGGGTAAAAGATATGAACAGACACTTCACAAAAGAAGACATCCAAGCAGCCAACAAACACATGAAGAAATGCTCAACCTCACTAATCATCAGGGAGATGCAAATCAAAACCACACTGAGATACCACCTAACTCCAGTCAGAATGGCAATTATCAACAACTCAAGAAATAACAGCTGCTGGAGAGGGTGTGGTGAAAAGGGAACACTTCTACACTGTTGGTGGGAGTGTAAACTAGTGCAACCTCTGTGGAAAGCAGTGTGGCGATTCCTAAAAGCTCTAAAAATTGACCTTTCATATGACCCTGCAATCCCCCTACTGGGAATATACCCTGAAGAACTCAAATCACTCCATAAAAAAGATACCTGCACACGTATGTTTATCGCAGCATTGTTCACAATAGCAGGAACCTGGAATCAACCATGCTGCCCATCAAAAGAGGACTGGATTTTAAAAATGTGGTACATATACACGATGGAATACTACACAGCCATAAAAAAGAACAAAATCATGAATTTCGCAGCAACCTGGATGGAACTAGAGTCTATAATACTGAGTGACCTCTCAAAGAAACAAAGATCTGAGTATCACATGTTCTCACTCATATAATGGACCTTGAACATCCAATGTAATACTATAAGAAAATGGTTGACAGTACTGGGAAACTATTGGCGGGGGAGGGAGATGGGATTAACTGTAGCAAATATCTGTCTGGGGACGGGGAAACACCTCTTATCAACAGGGTGCCTGAATGAAACGTAATTGTATACGTAATCCTTAACCGTACCCCACAAAACCATAATAAAAAATATTAAAAAACAAAACCAAAAACAAAACAGAAAAAAAAAAACAAGGTTACATATTGTGACTTATGGATAAAAGGTAGATCATAAATAAAAAGAGTTTAGTACATTATTTGAAAAAAATGTTTTAATGTAATAAAAATGACCAGAGGATTGTGTGAATCTTACCATGTATTTCAGCTAGAAACAATGCATCAGTATTTGCTAACAAAGTATTTGTGGCCATCTTACAGAGCCTAACTACAATGAATAATAAGAATGGACTCTAAGTGTAATATCCATCTTTTCGAAATAAAGAAATTCATATGAAGACTGTAATCAAGGACCGGTAATATAAATCTATTACTTAATAGAAAAATTTAATTTTTTCATTTGTTTATTTATTTGTTAAGAACGAGGGCTCCCTCTGTCACCCATGCTATAGCAGTGACAGAATCATAGCTTACTGCAGCCTGGAACGTCTCAGGTGATCCTCTTACCTCAGCCTCCTGAGTAACTGGGACTACAGGCATGCACCACCTCATCTGAATGATTTTTTTTTCCTACTTTTTTAGAGAAAGAGATCTCCCTATGTTTCCCATGTCAGTATCAAATTTCTGGCCCTAAGTGATCCTCCTACTTCAGCCTTCTGAGTTTCTGGAATTACAGGTTTAAACCAGTGTGCCTGACACAAAAATAAACAGTTTTATGCAGGCTAATTTAAAGAACCAATAATTAAGAAAAGATGCTAACCCCAATGAGTAATGAGAAGAAAAGCAATTTCCATGAGTTTTGCAAATGTTTTGTAAATTTGATAATAGCCTCCAATGGGATTACTTGGCTAATCTGTGATTTCTCTTAGAATGGCACAAGAAAAAAGAATTTAAATTCTTCTCTTGGAAGAAACTCAGTAAACATTATTAAATTAATCTTAGTTAATTGCTAGCACACGTCTACATTGATAGTACTTATGTTTTGTATGCATCATTCAGGGAGTGGTTTTAGGAATTAAAGTGTGATGCTAACTTAATCAAGGGTGCAAGGGAGTGTTATGCATACTGCACAAATCCAATCACGTCTAGCTCCACCTTTTTTAATCCTTGGGAGTTAAAATACCCCTAAAGAGGTGGGTATGATCTTTAAAGATTTTTATAAAAGGACCCACAAGAGTTCATTCCCTCCAGAAGAGAAGGACTGCCGTGAGAGTCACCTGTACCTTGGAGGCTCTGAAAGTCGGTGCTGCAGTGGATGAGCTCCTGACCTTGAGTTGGTCTTAGCAGAATTCTTCTTGTAAGAATCATAATGGGAGCCATTTGTAGAACTCAGGGGTAATTGCAACTCATAACCAAAAAATTGTTTTTATAAAAAATTTTAGAGTTAAAAATATCTATTATACCTACTGAATGATACCATTTGTAACTCTCATTCTTACTATTTATCTTATGAATTATTAGGATATCAATTGTTGCTATTTTGTAGTTCAATATAGTTTTAAAGAATTTTTACTACCTTTTTCCTGCTATATTTATGTATGCATATTAAACATATAGAATTCACATGATTACATATAGGTGTACACATGCTATGAGTATATTGATATTGGTACATTGAAATAGTTGAGAAGATATTACAATTGAATGCTGTAAATGATGTTCCTTCATAACCTTCAGTTTTTAGACCTGACTTTAAATGACTGAGACAATAATGAGAAGTACAAAACAGTAAGACTATGGGAAATGAGAGGACTGCCCCAAATACCCTAGTTTAGATATGAAAACTCAATTTTCTGAACAAATAATTTTAAGGCAAAATTTGATATGTGATACTAGTTGTCATGTCACTTGAGACTTACATCTCATTAAACTATGAAAAATTCCTGGCAATGACACTGACTGGCCATTAAGATTAAAATTCTAAGATCTTCACTTTTATTCAGCAGTGTTATTAAAGAAAGGAGAGTAAAGTTGAGGACTTAGAATTGCCAGAATTTTATTTGCAGTTTGTATTAGCCAGGGTTCTCCAGAGAGACAGACTCATACGATATATACATATATTTACACACACACAGATAGAGAGAGAGAGAGAGAGAGAGAGAGAGAGAGAGAGAGAGAGAGAGAGAGAGAGAGATACAGACATGCACCACATAAGGACTTCTTTTAGGTCAACCATGAACCACATATACAATGTTGGTCTCATATGATTATAATATTGTATCTTTACTGTACCTTTTCTATATTTAGATATGTTAGATATACAAATACCACTGTGCTACAATTGCCAACAGTATTCAGTAGATTAACACACCGTATAGGTTTATAGCTTAGGAGCAACAGGTATCTAGCAGCCCAGGTGTCTAGTAGGGAATACAGTCTAGGTTTGTTTACATACATTGATATTCTAACAAAAAAAATCAGCAAATGCATTTCTCAAAGCATGTCCCTACTGTTAAGCAATACAAAACTGTATATGAGAGGAAGTTTATTAGGGATATTGGCTCACTTGATTATTGAGGCTGATAAGTCCCATGATAGGCTACCTGCAAACCGGAGTCCCTAAGAGGCTGGAATCATGACTCAGTCCAGGTAAAAGTCTCAGAATGTGTTCCAGAAAAGATAGCGAGGAGATAGAGAATGGTCTTTTCTCTGTCCTTTGACTTCCAACTGAGCCCCCAGTCAAAAGGATGTAGACCACCCACAATGAGGGCAGATCTTTCCCAATTGATCCACTGACTCATATTAGTCTACTCTGGAAACATCTTCACAGACTCATCCAGAGTGGTGCTTTACCAGAGATCTATAGGTATTATATTTAGGTTTATTTGTATAGACATAGGGAAAAGCTAATTTAATCTACAGAAAGTAAAAAGACACAATTTCTTTTTTTTTTCCTGGGGAAGTTAGATTGGTATAATTGGTGTCTTTTTGTTTGTTTGCTTGGTTGTTTTTGTTTTAAAAAGTTGAGCTTCTGTGTTCCTCTAAGACCATTGTAGAAAATCCTGTGGCCACTCCTCATATTTTACTGGATTTATTAGCTATTAGAAAGAGAAGTAGGGACAATTATGATTTTTTTAGACAATTTATGTGTGACCCAAGTCCCATACCCAAAAGGAAAAGAGTACTTGAACAAATGCAAACCCTGCTAAGGAGCAGGAACTCAGAGTAAAGAGGTTGTGAGTCATCTAGTCAGAGTAATGTAAGCTATAAATCCAAGGGACTCTTCTTGTGTATCTGCTTTTTTTTTAATAGAACAAATAGCATTTTCTGATTTAATGAGCTTTGCTAAGTGAAGAAAATATAGCTATCACAAATCCTTACATTTGGAGCTTCTCACTAACCCAGGCCCAGAAATTACATGTTACCATTTCTTCCTCAGAAACATGAATTCCAGACTCTTGCAAGTCTTCCAGAAGGTCACCTGTCCCATTTACATGAAGTACTTCCTAGACCCTGTCACCATTGGCTGTGGGCACAGCTTTTGCAGGCCCTATCTCTACCTCAGCTGGCAAGACAGTCCAGTTCTTGCTCACTGCTTTGAATGCAAGAGTGCAACACAGCAGAGAAACTTCAAAACTGATGTTTGTATGAAGAAGATAGCTTCCCTCGCCAGAAAAGCAAGTCTCTGGCAGTTCCTGAACTTTGAGGAACAAATATGTGGGACCAACAAGGAGATGAAGAAGATGTTCTGTGAAGTGGACAAGAGCCTGCTCTGTTCACTCTGCTCTAAGTCTCAGGAGCATGGGACTCACAGACTCTGTCCCATTGAGGGGGCTGCTGAGGAACAGAGGGTAAGTGATGTCTCTGAAGATCTGCTTCTTCAAAGGACCGATAAAATCCCTATGGGTCTGTTTCCTTGGGAATAGGATGATGCCATCTAGTGTCCCTTTTGGCATCTCTCTTCTGGGGCCTCCCAGATTTGAGAAGCATCCAGGTGAACAAAGGGAACCCTTTTTTCAACAGGCCTGTTTTGTCTCTCAGTCTGGGCCCACTCCCTATGTTAGGGTCTGAATGTCAATTTATCGATTTCACTGGTGGTCTAATTTATGGTTACTTTATAGGAAAAGCTCTTGAAGAAAATGCACTTTTTATGGGAAAAAGCTTGTGAAAATCATAGAAACCTGAATATAGAAGCCATCAAAATGAGATCTTGGGAGGTTAGTACGATGCTACTTCTACCTTCTTCATGAACGTGTGGTGGACATAGGGCTGAATTTTAAATAGGAACGTGAACTGAAGCCATGGCTCTGGAACTCAATGAAGGAGAGGGGTCAATTGGCTAAAGTGACTTCATTTCTTGTGTAGTCTAGTATGACTGTTAGGGTTTCTGAGGAAACCATAGATGCTACCCAAAGCATGCTGGTTTGTTTCCACACAAACCTGTACCTACACACCAACAAACACAACAAACTGGGCCACCTCACAGAGCACCATGTGTGCTGGGATGGGTAAAACTGGGTCCCGGAGACATTTGGCAGTTATTGAAAGTTCAAGTGGCACGGTGGCAGAAGCATGTAATCCCAGCACTTTGGGAGGCCGAGGTGGTAGGATTGCCTGGGTCCATGGGCTCGAGACCAGCCTGGGCAACATGATGAGACCTTGTCTCTACAATAAAAATCACTAAATTAGCCTGATTAGTAACGTGCCTGTAGTTACGGCTACATGGAAGCCTGAGGGGGAAGGGCCGCCTGACCCCAGCAGGTCAACACTGTGGTGGCCGTGAGCATGCCACTGCAATCCAGCCTGGGTGACAGATTGAGATTCCAACTCAAAAAAAAAAAAAAAAAGTCAAGTGAAGCTTCTGAGGCTGCAAAAGCACTGATCGAATGCTGGTTATACTTGGAAATGGGTGGAAAATTTCTGACAGAGGAAGCAACAACTTGAATCTAGGGAAAATAGGAAATGAAGTAATCTGAGTAATTAATGTTCAATAATACATAGCACAGCATGAAAAAAAGTGTTTGAGAAATGTGAATTTGGATGAGGCACAGTGGCTCACACCTGTAATTCCAGAAATTTGAGAGGCTCAGGTGGAAGGATTGCTTGAATTAAGGAGTTTGAGATTAACCTGGCCAACATAGTGACACTTCGCCTCTACAAAAAATAAAAATTAGCCTGGTGTGGTACACCTGTAGTCCCAGTTACTTGGGAGGCTGACCCAGGAGGGCTGTTTGAGGTTAGGATTTGGAGGCTACAGTGAGCAGTGATATTGCCACTGCACCCCAGTTGGGCAACAGAAGAGACCCTAACTCAAAAAAAAAAAAAAAAAAGCGAGTTTGCATCTTGAAGGATACTTCTAAAAATGACAAATATAGAATCAGATATATAAACATAAGGACCACTCTGAATATTTGAAAAAAAATTAAAAATTGATTTTCTCTTTGTGGATGGTTATCTTGAACGTGTGAAATATAATATTAATTTACTGAAAACTATTTTATGTGCTCTTAGCCTATTCAAAATATTAACTTAGTATTTAGCAGTAAAAAAGACAGAAAACATCCTTGCCCTGACAAAGCTGAAAATCTACATGAGAGATGTAAATGGTCACCATGCAGGTATGTGAAATATGTGATGTGTTAGAATGTGATAAGTTCTTTGGAGAATGGTCATTCAGCGAAGTGAAATAGGAGTCAGGGAGGTGAGGAGTATGGGGAGGAGGAGTTGAGTCTTATATAGGGATGTCAGAGGATGCTTCACTGAAAAATTCACATGAAAAATCCTTGAAGAGAAAAGCAAACATGAAGATACATGCAGTTAAAGAATTTCTAGGTGAAAGAACAGCATGGGCAAATTGGAGTGAGTGGAGGAAGAGAAAGGAAATGAAGTCAGGTTTGAAAAAAATGTCAGATCACAGATGAAACTTTATGAAAACAGGTTTTGGTGGGTGAAATGCATGGGAGGATTTTGTTGGTCTGAGGTCATTGCACTTAATGAGTTTAAATAACTTGCTCAAGATCTCAGAGATTAAAAAATATATGGATTCCTAACAATTCAATTTAGCTCTAAAGTTCGGTTCTTAACTTATGTTGCCTTTCTGTAAATATGTATAGGGAGAGTCCAAATACTGTGAAATCAAGAAAATATAAGGGTTGGGAGAGAAGAATCAAGCTTGTTTTTCTATGTGATTGTCTTAAAAAACAATGTATTGCCGGGCTCGGTGGCTCAGCCTGTAATCCAGTGCATTTGGGAGACTGAGGTGAGTGGATTGCCTGAGCCCACGGGTTCGAGACCCGCCTGGGCAGCGAGACCTCATCTCTACAATAAATCAAAAAATCAGCCGGGCGTGGTAGTGCATGCCTGTAATTTCGGATACTCGGAAGGCTGAGGCAGAAGGATCGCCGGAGCCCAGCAGGTCAAGGCTGCGGTGGCCGGGAGCGGCCACTGCACTCTGCACTCCAGTCTGGGCGACAGAGTGAGACTCCAACTCAAAAAAAAAGTCACCTCAGCCCAGAGCCAGAACAGAAGACCAGAGGGACTGGAAAAGGATTTCACAAAAATCTGATCTAAATTACCACTTATAACGTAGACATATGGATTTTTTTATCCAATTATGTAGAGTGGTGCCTCAGGAAAGTAAATCTGTACATTTCTTCCAAAATGATAGCACTAGGATTTAGAAAGTAATATATATCTACATATATATGGAGATATATATATATATATATATATATATATATATATATATATATATATAGAGAGAGAGAGAGAGAGAGAGAGATATTTGCTATTAATCTTGCCTGGTTGGATACTTTGAAGGGGCAATATCATCCCAGCAAAGTAGCTTTGGTTATGATGGAAGTCAAGGGCAGATGACCCTCAACTGACAGAGAGAATAAATATGCACATGAATGTTCAGCATCCTGAGAGCCCGTAGCCAGCCCCTACCTGGAGCAGCTCCACGTCTGGCTTATGGCACATTTCCTTCAACTCTTTGTACACTTCTCTTAAAATTCAGCTCTTATGAGCCATGCTGGCTCCACTTTCATGGAGCTGCTGAAAAATGTCCTGGCCCTCCCTTTGCAGTCTCTCCAAATGCTGTTGCTCTTCTTCATGGAGAAATGCAGGCATCTTCTGATACTCAGCTCTGATTGCTTCTCTCCTTAAATTCACGTAATCCTGCAGGGACAATGCGGCAGTAAGTTATCAGCCCATTTATCCATCTCCTATTGATTCACACTGACTTGTGATTGTCTCATGAACAAATTTTTTAACCTCCGTTTGCTAGTCCTCAGAATTTGCAGAATTTTTGTTCATTTCCTTTTTTATTTCTCCTTTATCCAACCAAGTATATTTACTTAACTCAAGATACATTGGTTTTTTTTTTTGAGTTGGAGTCTCACTCTGTCGCCCAGACTGGAGTGCAGAGTGCAGTGGCCGCTCCCGGCCACCGCAGCCTCGACCTGCTGGGCTCCGGCGATCCTTCCGCCTCAGCCTTCCAAGTAGCTGGAACTACAGGCG